AGAAGTGGAAAGCACATAGATATGTAGTATACATATATACACGATTACCGCAAGGTAAATAAGTAAGTCATTATAATATATTGGAAAATAACCTTTATTTGTTTATTAATTAGACACAAATTCCTAAGTTCGCTTAAGGCCCATACCATACATCTTTCAACTTGCGGTTGCGTCACCCTGACTATGCAAATGAATAGCAACCTTTTTAATTAATTCAAGGTATTTATTATGTGGCTATAAGTTTTCTAGATTTTCAGCTGTTTATGATGTCGGGACTTCGATTCCTGCTCATGACAAAAATTAAATGAAGATGTACCTCTTATATATTCTAAATATATGAGGCATATATTCAGTCAAGGGACCGAAATAATTTATTAAATACATATATTATAAAAAAAACCGACTAATATCTCCTGCGCAGTTGGCTAATCTCAATGAGATTGGCCGCCGTAGCCGGAATCGGCTAGGAGAACATCATTATAAAGATGGTATACATAAATTCATTTCCCTTTTTTTCTTACCCTTTCCCAACATTAAAGAAAAAAAGGCGTCCTGTGTTTTCCCAAAAGTTAATGATTATAAAAATAATAATATGTCTCTGACACAGAATTATCTGAACCCTACTTAACATATTAATTATTAACTTTGAGTAGTTCTAAAATTTAATTTTCATTCAACATGTGTGTTTGGTTTGTGGCTTTGGACGCTATGTGTGTTCAGTCTTTTTATTCACGTGGGTGGCAGAGCCATGTTTATTTAATTACTTTAGTGTAATAATCGTATATAGATTGCTTGAGTAAGTGTGAGTTACTCTTCCTGGTATACATTATATAAGTATATTTTTTCCTTTACATACATTCTATGTACATATGTTCCTAGATTTTTAATTTCGGCCGAAACCTAAACTGTAATAGTATACAATTATAAATAAAAATCGGTCAGATAAGATTCAGCCACAATATTTATATAATAAAGTTGCTTAGAAAAAAATATCTCAATTTTATAAACCTATCTACTGCTATTACACGCTTGTGTGGACTTCATTTTCTTTTACCCCTCAATTATGTTTATGGAGTGCCACCCGTATTTTTTATTTTATATAGTTTGACAATAGACCTCTCAAAAAAAATTAAAAGATTTTTTTTGTAATTAAAATAAGATTCTTTTAAATCTCATAAAATAAGATATGAAAGTGAGTGAGTGAAATAGTTTTTATACCGGAAATCACCCCTTAAGGGGGTGAGAATTGGGATATAAGTTTGTATGGGGAAGCAAGCTAGGGACGAACCCAAGCGAAGCTAGGGTGAGTCGCTAATATTGAATAAACTATAATTTAATTGGTATTGGGAAGGTGCCTAGTGAGATTTATCGACTAAGCGTATATTTCTAATTCTAACATTATAAAAACAATTCCACCCCTTTCATTCTATATTTAAGCACTTGTAAGTTCAAAGGGTAAAATTTTCCTATAAAATATAGGAATTTCCCTTCACGAATGCAAACCTTTTAGTGGAAAATAAATAAAAATAATAATTTGTTAAACTTATATAAATAAAAGAGATAAAAAATTTTAATCGTGTGAGAAATAATATTATTGGCGTAATATTTTTATTTGTTTTTTTCGTATTTTAGCTTTTACTGATATCATAAAAGATGTTTGATCAAGACACGTGAGAGTGTGTGCAGCCAAGTTCAAGCCAAAGGAACTGGCGACGCAGCACCTTGTGTATATGTTACACGAATTTGGAGACACTTTTCACCTCGTAATAACTCAAAATTTATTTAACATAAAATCATGAAATGTTCATTTATAAAAGCCCCTTAGATTAACTATAGTCTCCAATTTCATAAATACAGCTCAAACGGTTATTGAATATTAACGTCTAAAAATCGACATCTTTATCACTGACTGACTGACATATAACCTTACCACTTCCAGATTACCTAGAAAGTTGAAATTTGGTATCCAGATGGGTAATCATGCGTATACAAAGGGAAAAATCAGAAAACTTATACGACTATATACTTAAATTTTTAAAATTTGAAAAATAGAAATAATTTTTACTGACACCTTACACCTTCCAAAACATAATAGCAATAGCTATATATACTCGGTGCCAGCCGACAATATTTTAAGATATGAATATCTAATAGGTAAATGTGTGTTTTACGTATCGAAATATTAGATTTGCTTTGCATCGGCTGGCACCGACCTCGAAAATATCTGATTAGGTATCTATTCTAAATGAAAACCTCCGTTTAGTTATTTTTTACATTTTAGTGCCTGGAAGTCGTTTTTTTTAGTTTTTATATTAATAGTATTATAGTCTCTTTTGGAAAACCTTTGCTTTCAAAAAAATACTATAATACTATATTATTTATGTCCAAATTAGTCTGTTTTTTGGTAACTCTGCATCTAAACTAATTTATACATCTTAAGATGCTGGAAATTCATCTTAAATGCCCTACGGAGGAGGGCTCAACGGTTTTGCGTAGTTAATTTTCAATGCTTAAAGCTACAGTACACGATACCTTTGAAGTCGCACAAAATAGAATAACAAGACCCACTTAGAGGAAAACCGTGTCGTAGTAGCAGAGATTTTGCTTACGTATAACGTAATATTCTAATTTGTTCTAATGTATATGTAACATGTTCAGTTATTCTGTATTACAGGGTTTAATTTAAACAAGTATTATCTTCTCGTGACTCGCAATAATTCAGTATCATGATGATTCATTAAATATTTTTTTAAATATACGATTTGTCTGTACAAAATGATTGCCATATACACACCATAGATACTATTATTTAATAGGTAGTGAGCGTGCAAATTAAATTTAATGAAAATATAAACGTATAATAAATATTTCACAGGCGGAGTTGGTTTTTAACCGACATCTAATTCTAAAAAGGAGGAGGTTCTCAATTCGTCGGAATCTTTTTTTTATGTATGTTCACCGATTACTCGAAGACGCCTGAACCGATTTGGATTTTTTTGTTTCAAAGTGTATATATGTACTTCCCAGGTGGTCCCTTTTAAATTTTATCGAAATCGCTCGAGCGGTTTTTAAAAAAATTAACAATATATTTTTTTTAAATATGTTTAATCGAGTACGTTCTTAAAAAACTAAAGGCGTAATTTAATTTACTATTATAGATGTAGTATTCCCTCTAAAGTAGATAAATAAATGTTGTCGAGAAAATATAGCCGGATAACAAATCTAAATATACATATAGCTGGATAATATTATATCTATATAATTATGTACTTTGTATATCATATATATGTATATGTCGAAGCGTCCTTATTGTATATGTTATAGCTTTAAATAAGAATAATTCTAAAAGGTCTTATTTATTACAAAAAAAATGCCCTAATTTAGGCTATATTCTTTAAAAAAAATATTTACACACTATGTTGTTCTATTATTTATTTTTTAATAAACATTAGTAACAAACCGATACACATTTAAATTTTATCACGCCTTCTATTAGATGTTATTTGATTTTATCGTTCTTCTTGGTAAAATATATAGACACTTCAAGAGTAAATCAGAATAAGCTTCTGGAGTAAAGTAACTTTGAGCATGTATGTACATTTGTATGTATAGGTGTGTACATATCTTGGTAGCATATCTTTTGGACCTCTAAACTAAGTTAGATTTAGTTCTATTCAGTTTAAGCTTACTAAGATACTCGCTTTGATGTCCGTCGTTCAAGTTTGTGAAGTCCTGAAGTTACTGAACAAAGTTATTAGTTCGAATATAAGGATATCGTATTTAATCTTAATGAAACTTATGATTTATATAAGTCTAGACCACATAACCAATATAAGTATATCGTTTGCTTTCCTAATACTTAATAAATCGGTTAAGTTTTTTATATGAAATCTTTTATTTTACATTTTACTACGAGCGTTCGTCATTTCAATAAATGTTTAATCCATGACCACACTATTTTCAAATGCGATTATTATTTACTAGCCTTGCCTCGGCTTCGCTCAGACAAAGTTCGATTCTTACACTATTTACCTCTTTTTAGTTGTATCTGAAAAAGCACGAAACGCGTGTTTATTTGTCGAAAGAAGTAATCCTGCGAAATTTTAAATTGATGAACTTTTATATGATTTCTATATACAAATTTCGAACTCCAGTTATATCTTCGTAGGGGTTGAATTTTTAAAAATCCGATCTTAGTGGATGCTTACGTTATAATAACTATCTGTGTCCAATTTCAACTCCATCCATTTAGCGGTTTGAACTATGCGTTGACAGATCAGTCAGTCATGGTTTCCTTTTTTATATACATACATATTGATTATATTTTGAGAAATTTACTAAAATATTTTTATGTATATATAAATATTACTGTATTTTGTTTTTAGGTTATTCATCCTTAAGTTATGCCAAATATTTATGTTTGCTAATTGTGGTTTCTGACATAGAGCGAAGTACTGACGATAGCAATAATAATACATATATGGGAGTCGAACCCCACGAGTCAATTTGACATTCACACTTTTATTATTCAACGGCACCGATTTAAAAAAAATCTCAGTTAAATTATTGTATAGTTGCAATTCATTTCATACAATCACCGATTAACAAATGAAGCTAAATATATCCATTTCAGATATTGATTTTTCCTTCCAGAGCAATTAATGTGATTGAAGTATGTATCGTAACTTGTAACGACGCAGTCAATTCAATGCATGTCCGAAATTTGGCAAAATAAATACCGAATATTTACAGAGCACTTTAGTGGATTTGATTTTTGATTTGTGTAAAGCCCAAGACTAAGAGCATAAATTCGAATCGCTAACTCTCGTGGCGCACCTATTAGCCCCATATAAATTTGAACCTCTTTGAACTAATATGCTATTTTATTTTATACTAAGCTCTACATATACATGTATGTACTGACGTAAGTCACATTGACAGCTTATTTCAATTTATTTAAAGATAATTGTAAAATTAAATAATATAATATATCTTAAATAATGATACAAAGAATTTTGAACGCTAATAACTTTAAATGCAAATGTGGAAGTGTACTAAAGGAACCGCTCGTATCAATTCCTGGATGTTCTGATGATTTCACCGCGATAGCTGCTCTGCCGGACGAATGGGCACCAAGACATTGCGGGCAAACTTTAAGAAACTTTTTAAAAGAAAATGAACAAGTATACGAAACGGTCATTAAAGATTTTAAACAGGAAACAGAATTAATTAATAAAGATATCGATGAAAAGGTACGGTTTATTGCAGAAGTTCTGTTATCCGAAATTCGACATAATCAAAAAGATTTGGAGTGTGTGACAAATAATTATGAATTATATGAAAATTATCTTCCAAATGAAAGTCGGAATGAAGCATTAAAACACATTTATAAATTATCTTTAAAACGAATACAGGATTTAGAGAGATTTAAGCTGGAAGCATTTGTTTTGGAAAAACAACGAGCAGATGGTTTAAGGAATGCTATAAAGTCTAATTTCCAACGTTTTATAGCCGTGGGACATAAATCGCCTAGAGATTTACTCCACGATTTTGACGAAAATATTTTCGAAATAAATCAGCAATTACTTAGCAATTGTAGGGCTTATATAGAATTGGAGGCCCAATTACGTTTACAACTGAGTGAAAACGAATTTCATGCAAGATCGGCTCTAAATCAATTATGTCTTAGCAAGACAAAATTGTTAAGGCATCAAAGTGCCTTTCCTTGGACTCGCAATACAGTAGCTGGCAGTAAAATCATTCCTAAAATCGAAGATGACCGTACTTTTAATTTAGAAAAATTAAAGGATTGTACATCTTCGTTGTTAAATGTATATCAAGATGTAATTACGAAATTGTTAACTTATTATTTGCATTCTCTAGAAGATTTGTACAAAAATATTTTAAACACTAATAGTACACGCGAGCAAAAAAACGATGTGCTATTTTTTAATGATATAGAAGTTATTGCTCAAATTTTACAACCAGTCACAGATATTTTGGACAAGATGATGATTTTAAGTAATACAAATTTAGATATAAATATACAAAAATATTTAAATAATTTGCAAAAAAGCTTAATATCTCTAAAAGATCATCTTCACGAAATATGCTGTATACTTTTTGATGCTGGTCACATTTGGGATTACCTCGAAACACGTTTTGTGCTTGGTAAGAAATTAACTTTAGCTACATTAGAAGACGTACAGGCAGTTCATGATACAACTGAACTTGCGAATGAAGTAAATATGAATATTGCTTTAGAACAAATAAGTAGCGCATCTGATATAGAAAAATTAAACTATCAATTTAACTACGCTAACTCTCTTCTTGACAAAGCTACAGAAATATTATATCAACATAGAGAGGTTGAGATTAATAAAATTCAAGAATTTATAAACTTATCGTCAATTTTGGTAACTTTATTTATTTCCGAGTGCTCTTGCTATCTGGATAAATATCCGAAAGCACTGATTGTTTCTGATCGTTTGACAAATTTTGTATCAACTGAATCTATAGAAGAAATTACTTCGATTTGTAATTCTATAGTTGAAGGTGCCTCAAAAACCTGGATATATGAAGAATTCCTTGTCAATTGGAGAAATAATTTCTTGGAGTCTTTTGGAGATAGTGTACGTAAAATCTCTGAAAGAATAAATTGTGAGACACAAACATTTGTAGAAAAAAATGGTTTACAAGTGAATGTACGATATTCCTTAAAATTGACATCGCATAGTATTCGAGAAGAGCGCCTAAAAGCAGCTCATGAAGCTCGATTAGCCCAGCTTCTAATGCACGAAGCGCGTTTAACTTCACATTTAGATGCTATGTATAATCTTATTGACGAATTACCTTTAGAAGCGTCCGAATTCCTAGGCTTAGACTCTCCAGAATTATATCCATTTTGTAATTGGATTAAAAATATCCAATCGAGTGTGGAAATTTTGTTACAGCAAGAAAAAATTGACCCCGAGGTTAAAAGACTAAAAATGATGAGCTACTCACAGCGTTTGACGAGACACCGACAACTTTTTGAAGAGTCGCTTGATTCGGCTATAGAGGAGTACAAAAAACAGATTAAACGTAAAATACAAAAAGCCCGCATTTCAAACGTAGGATTTTTATCTCAGGTAAAACTTTTTGGTGAAGGAGGTAACTACGCAGCATCAGAAGCTCTGAAGACATTTACGTCGTTGGTGAAAGCGGCAGATGCTCTAGAGACGTGCGCCCATCGCACTATAGACGCTTTACATCACAGGCGTATGCAATTATTAGCTCTAGCAGATCACCAAATATCTTCCCAACGTATCGACGATGTCCAAAAATATGGTTCCAAAAATGTTTCAGACAAGAAGAAACCACTTAATAAAAAGAAGTAGTGTGTTTATACATCACGACCTATCTATATTATTCAACAACAGGTACATTATAATTTCTATCTTCTAATTTTTTTATATAAACAGTGTTTATTTATATATTATCTTTATTTATTTATGTACACAAATGCTGTTTAACTTCATTTTTCCAGCGAGACAATTATAATAAGTAATATTTAATATTCACAGACATGAAATAGAAATAAATTTTACGTTTACGATTTTCTTCGTGCTTTTGATGCTTCATTGTGCTTACGAGTAATTAAAACTCCTAAATAAAAATAATTTAGTGATTTAGTCTATACTAATATTATAAAGAGGTAAAGTTTGTGATGTTGTACGGGGTAATCTCTGGATCTACTGACCCGATTTAGATGAAATTTGGTAAGAAGATAGTTTGAGACCCTGGAAAGGATATAGGATACTTTTTATCCCAGAAATCATCCCTTAAGGGTGTGAAAATGGGTATGAAAGTTTGTATGAGGAATCAAGCTATGGACGAACCCGAGCGAAGCGAGGGTGAGTCGCTAGTAATCGATAAATATAGTTATTTACTAGCGACTCACCCTCGTTTCGCTCGGCTTCGTCCCTAGGTTTGTTTTTTTTTGAGCGGAACCCTAATTCTTTTTCTAAAATAAAAGTAGCCTATGTTACTCCCTATAACATCAGCTATCTTCCAGTGAAAGTTCTGTGAAAATCAGTCCAGACGTTTCAGAGATTATCAGGAACAAACAGACAAAAATAAAAATAAATGTTTTTTTTTTATAAGTACCGTAAATAATTTTATATACATTTAGTAAAGAGCTGCTTTTTTGACATTACAAACAGACACTTCAATTTTATTGATCTGTATAGACGCATTAACGAAAACCAAAGACCTATCCTAAAGTTTACATAAATCATGTTATATTTAGTTATTGTAGAATATAAAAATACACGCAGGCGGAGATTTAAACAGAAACTAGTATCACAACGAAGTAATAAAGAGGTCGAGTATAATGTAGTTGAAATATAAAATTAATTTTCCAACTTTACTGGCTTGCAATTTGTCCTTGTCAAATATATATATATATACATATATACAAACGTGAAAAGATTGTAATAGACATTAGACAGAGTCACCTTCACACGTACACGAAGTATGACAATATTCAAATAGATGATCATTTGTATATTAATGTCAAGATAAGTCTAAAGCAAAGGTTTAAAACCACCCTAAACATCCAAGAAGTGAATAGCGTATCTTCTCTCGTCTTTTCCGTTTAAAAATACAATGTAAACTTTTAAAATTAAAATAATCAAAACATAGTTTTATAAAATGAATTTACTTACTCAACTTTCATGATAAATATAAAATAAAAAATGTATAAGCTCCATTAATCCTAATTAATGTCTAAAAATAGCTCAAGTTCTAACAATTTGTTTTCCTTAAAATTCTTTTAGAGCAAAGCAAGCTCTCGCAACTCGCAATGATACTCCTGGGATGGAAAATTCATTTTGTGAAATATATTTTCTCTTCGATTGAATTTATGTTACTGTCTTTCTGTTGGTATCTAACTTATCTTGGTTTTAAAAGCTTTAAATAAAGTTAATAGTTGTGTGAACTATCATGCTGACATTATAATAAATAGTCGTTTTTTCGGATAGGTATAATATAAAAATAGCGTTTTTTTTTCAGATAAGAAACCAAATATGTACATAACCAAATATATAAACTTAAAAAGTAAAACCTTATCTAAATACAAAATTTGATCCAAATCGTTAAAGCCGTTTCCGAGATACACGAAATAAATACATATATGTATAAACTAGCGGCTCACCCTCGCTTCGCTCGGGTTCGCCTCTAGAAACACACTAATAGACATCTATTAGTTCCCACGGGAAATGTTCATTTTTCCGGGATGAAAAGTAACTTGTTGTTTGACCGGCAATGTAAGGTATCAGAATGATAAATGTTACTAAATTAGGTGCATAACTTGTTGTGTACTAAGCTGTATAAGTTACTATAGTTTTTTTACTATCCCACGGAAACTCTTTAATTTTCCGAGATGAAAAGTAGCTGATTTGTTTTTGTCATGTATGAACTATATTTTTGTAAAGTTTTATTAAAATCCAATCAGTAGTTTTTGTGTACTTAGCTGTATAAGTTGTTATAGTTTTTTAACTATCCCACGGGAACTCTTTAATTTTCCGGGAAGAAAAGTATCTAAGATGTTGCCCGAGGATATAAGTTACCACCATGCAACATTTCATTTAAATCAGTCCAACAGATTTGGAGATTATCCCGTACAAACAGAAAAACAGACAATCAGCTCGCTCGGGTTCGTCTATACCTACGATTATGTTGTATTATCTCTTTAACCATTTGTCCAAATTATATACAGTAAAAGGGAAAAGTCTTTTGTTTTAAACATTTTAGACGATAAATTTACTTATTTTGATACGAATTCATAATTGTTGATAATATGACCAATAAACATGACCTACAGATTTAAATTATTTTTTTAATATAAGAAACTACTTTTTGTGACTTAAATATAAAAGTTAGACATATGCTGTCGCGGACTTTTTTGTAGGCATTATTAAGCTCTACAACTTTTCTCTAGAACATAATCATATATCTCTCATCGTAAAGGCAGCGTTCGTAAGAAACGTTTTCGTTTGACCGTTTTTTTTCCGACTTACTTTGCAAATCCGACTACCACGACAAAGCCTCTTCATTCTTCGGGTTAATATATAGCCTATGACACTCAGGAAGAACGTGGCTTTCTATTGGTAAAATAATTTGGAAAATCGGTTCAGTAGATCTAGAAATTACCCCCTACAACGTCACAAACTCACAAACTCACAAACCCACAAACTCACAAGATCACAAACTTTACCTCTTTATAATATTAGTATAGACAAGAATTGCTCATTAATTATTAATATTATAAGTTAGAATTGAGGATATGATATTACATATTAAATTATCTATCGTTCTGGATATCAGTTTCCAAAATTATCTTCTGTATTTACCAGATTACAACAATAATAAGTCAATTAGGTTCGAGCTAATTGGATTCTGGAGTAGTTCATACTATCCAAATATAATCTAACACCACGGTGATGTTCTTTTAAAGTTTTCAAGTAATTCAAATGTATATGTTTTGATATATGTATTGGTAAAATATAGATTAAAATATAAATTAACTTTTAAAAGATAGTAAACAAGACTAAAAGTATGTTAAGAGAATTAAAGAAGAATCTTACTAATATTGTAAATGATAAATGAATGTTTATTACTCAATCACGCCAGAACAGCTGAATGGATCTGGATGAAATTTGGCACAGAGATAGATTATAGTTTGGAATTTTGTCCCGGAAAAATGTACGGTTCCTGTGAAATAGATTTCTTTCTGTTAGTTGTTTAATAATAATGTTTAAAAATAAAAGAAGAAATTATATTTCTGCATTGCTATTTACACAACTAAAAACGTTACTGAAGTAATTTTCAATGGAATATGTAGGATATTTTTACTGCTCTAAGTACATTTTTTATGTTGGTCGACTATTACTCGTAAACTTGTAAAGCCTTCTTAGCTGTAATAGTTTTGCTTTTAACTTTGTTATGTTCATTTATACTACCGTGATTTTTTTACATTTCCAAAAACAACCATTTAATTAACAGGGGGATGACGACGATGACACTTGACTTATTCTCTATTCGTAACTTGACTCTAACAAAAAATAGTACTTTAAAGCTTAATATATCACAAAAGGATTTCTTAATCGAAAAATTGTGTTAACAAACCCACAATACTTTTAAAAAACCTATTCAACGAGACCCCGAGAAATGAACATCCCCACTTTACCTGTTGAGGAGGTACCCTAAAAAAAATTGTTTTTCAAGTTTTATTAAAAAAAAAACGAAAGTACGTACCTACTCTAAAGAAGCCATTTTTTTATATTATAGATATTCTGCATAGATATATTTATCTCCTAAAACAGATTTTTACAAACAGATTTTCATTTTGAGGGAAATTCTTTTTATGAGATTTAGCCATCACCTATTGCGGCCTTTTTCAAAGGGCTTTAGCCTTATTATGTCGTGCTAGGAATGTTAATGAGTGAAATGAGAAGTCTAGCGCCAAGAGTCATTGATAATACGGTCGATATTTCTACATTCTACAAGATTTTATTTACTTCAGTAGTCTTGTTTTTGTGATATTTAATTAAACGTCAAGTAAATTTTAATGTTTAATATAGATTTCCGAGAGATGACATATTTTCCCGCAGTAAAAAGTATCCTATACGTCGACCCGGACCAGCTACTGTCATACCAAATTTTATCAAATTTTGTCTAGTGGTTTTCCCGTGATGCGTTCCCAGACAGACAGACACAAATTCTAAAAAGTATAGATTCTGTCTGTGTATCGATAATAATGACTGTTTCAATAAGATTTTCCAAAAAACATTAAATAGACAGATTCGACGCAGAGTTTTATTATTTGTGTAGATTTAAGAGCTAAGACTTACAATGTTCGAAGAAATACTGCTATTTGTAAAGCCAATAACTAACAAAAATATTTTTACATTCATATTTATTAAGAATTTTTCCTTCTAGGAGATTTTTAACAGTAGCCATTGGAGACTTCTTCACTTCAGTCTACTGTCACCATATGGCAGTAAAAAAATTAGGTTAATTTATTTCGAAGATTACGCACTTAGATTTACATGAATATTTGGCTTATTAAATAAAATTATCTTATAGTATTTATTATTCCTTACGGTGACGGAAAACATCGTGAGGAAACTTGCATGTCTGAGAGAACCTAGCAAGTTTTCAAAAGACATGTGAAGTCCGCCAACCCGCACTTGGCCAGCGTGGTGGACCATGGCCTGATTCCCCTCGTACTGAAGAGAGGTCCGTGCCCAGCAGTGGGTCGTTAAAAAGGGCTGAATACATAGTATTATGTTGTGGTTTTTTTTTAATTATTGGTTCCAGACTTTTGTAATAT